GCTGGGGTAGAGGGCGTTGCGCGGGACGGGGGGGGGGAGGGTTTTTATTTTTGGAGATTTCTAGAGGCTAAAAATTCGAGGAAAAAAGGAGGCTCAATCTGGGCCGTCAGATCTACGAGATCCACAGCCCAGATTGGTCCATTTTGAATTCAAAAACAAAAGTAGCTGATTTTATTTTTCAATCAATCAATCAGTCAATCAATCAATAAATCAGCGAACCGATCGAATCGATTGATTGATTGATTGATTGATTGGCGTGGATTGAGTGAGCCTCTGTGTGCGCGCTATCCATCGATCGATCGACTTTTTGAAGTTTTTTTTAATTAAATGCGGGCTGTGCCCGCGCGTACTCTGTGTGTGTGTGTGTGTGCGTGTGTATGTGTGTGCTATCCATAGATCGATCGACTTTTTGAAGGTTTTTTTCATTAAATGCGGGCTGTGCCCGCGCGTACTCTCTCTCTCTCTCTCTCTCTCTCTCTCTCTCTCTCTCTCTCTCTCTTCCGCACGTATGATCGCGCCTGCGCCGCGTTGCCGCGCTGCCCCGCTGCTTCCCACCACTCTCTCTCTCTCTCTCTCTCTCTCTCTCTCTCACGTATGCGCGCGCCAGCGCCGCTCTGCCCCGCTGCTTCCCACCTCTCTCTCTCTCTCTCTCTCTCTCTCTCTCTCTCTCTCTCTCTCTCTCTCTCTCTCTCTCTCGCTCTCTCTCTCTCTCTCTCGCACGTATCCTGTGAACTCGATCTTTGCTTTCTCAACTCCTTCACGTTCTCTCTCTCACTCAAACTCTCTTATTAACGTAATCACACCTTTGTCAAGACCCTCAATAACTGATAAAAACAACAAAAATATGTCACTGACGATAGTGCGTCACTAATCTAACGAAAACAACGAACTATCGACGAGGAGGGGGAACATAACGATGGGGTAGAAAAGGTGGAGGAGGTGGGGGAGAAGATCAACGGGGTTGACGAGGATTTTTTTTTTTTTTTTCCCTCTCTCTCTCTTGTATCCTGTGAACTCGATCTCTGCTTTGTCAACGCCTTCACGTTCTCTCTCGCTCACTCAAACTCTCTTATTGACTTTATCACACCTTTGTCAAGATCCTCAATAACTAATAAAAACAACAAAAATATATCACCGATGACAACGACGAACTGTCGACGAGGAGGGAAAACATAACGATGGGGTAGAAAAGTTAGAGGAGGTGGGGGAGGAGACCAATGGAGTTGACGAGGATTTTTTTTTTTTTTTTTTTTTTTTTCTCTCTCTCTCTCTCTCTCTCTCTCTCTCTCTCTCTCTCTCTCTCTCTCTCTCTCTCTCGTACCTCCTCCACCTCTTCTACCCCATCGTTATGTTGCCCCTCTTCATCGACAGTTCGTCATTATCGTCCGACAAGTGACACAATGTCATAAGTGACATATTTCTGTTATTTTTATTAGTTATTATTATTATTGTTTGTATGTGTATGTGTGTATGTATGCACGCGCGCGCGCATGTGCGTGTGTGTGTGTGTGTGTATGTGTGCGGGTGTGTGTGTGTGTGTGTGTGTGTGTGAGAGAGAGAGAGCGAAAGAGAGAGAAAGAGAGACGAATAACACATACACAAACACAAACCGAAACAACTTCATTATTGTAATCCGGCGTTCCACGATAAATTTGCTGCTTACGACGTACAACGTGCTTGTTAGATGACAAAATGTCATTTGTTGTTTATTTGTTTTTATATATATACATACATGCAATTCATGACTTGAAGATATGTGGATGAATTTGATATGTCATTTTTTGCGTAAGAAAATCATTGAGACAAGACCACCCCACCCTAAGGTTGGTGGGAAAGATTAACACTTCGCAGCGGACCATTATGGTGCGAAGCACAAAACGTAAGAACACACTTCCTTTCTTTTTCTTGATCTTTTAGCTTCCCACTTTCATTGATTTTACACGCAGTGTGTTTTTTCTGTTGAGTTCTAGATACACATAATAAAAAACCAATACTACTGGCAACGTCTGCTCCATAAATACAAGGAGGATGTATGTTCACCTTTGAACGTCGATTTACTATATCCTGCTCCTCATCCAATCATGGTAACGAATAGTGACCCACAAACTATCCACGATCAAGCGTAAGATGCGCGAAGTCATTATGTGTGTATGTGTGAATATGTGGAAGTGTGAGAGTGTGTTCGTGTGTGTGTGTGTGTGTGTGTGTGTGTGTGTG